GAGCTGCAACTCTTAGAGTTCTCATGTAGCCCTTTATTTTACTCTTTTCGTAGTGAAAAACTGTTTTTTTTTACTTTGTACCACTTTTATTAAAAAGTAAGTAGTAGTAGTAAAAGAAAACAGTAGAACTGAAAAAGCAAAAAAAAAAAAAAAAGAAAGAAAGGTGGCCTCTTCTACCTTTTCAATGTGTCAAAGCAGTAAGAATTTATCAATTAAAACACATAACTGTTCACTTCAACTTCATAGCAACATCAAATATCTGTAAAAATGATTTGACACTAAATCCAACAATCAATAAAATGATAAGATTGAAAATATAATCAACAGCCCACGAGAAGAAAAATACTCTGCTGCCAAATATTCCTGCCTCCATTTTTTTTTTTAGAAACCCTTTAAAAATGTACAGTCAGTACAGACCTGAACTTCAGGTCATGCATAAAACATTCATGAACTAATCAGTGCAGATGTTGTGTTGCTTATTACACTACAATAAACTATATTAATGTCTGACCCTAATGGCAAGTCACTGAACATATTCTAAATGTGCAGTAAAATAAAAATCATAGTAATGCTTGGTATTTAAGGTACATCACACCAAAGTTTAAATGTTGTTACAAAAGAACGCAGATGCCAAAACGAAAGTAGTGCTTCATTAAAGAGGCTGTTTGTGCAGTTTTATCACAACTGCTGCGGGCTTTTGTCAGCTGTGGTCAGGTGGGGTTTGTCGTCTGTGTGCTCAGATGTCCTTTGAGCTTCACATCACCACTGACAGGCTTCAGTGTAACACTCCAGTGATTTTCTGACAGGCAGGCTCCACCAGGATCTGTCATCTTTTTGCTGATGTGTATCTAAACTTACTGTATGCAAAGTATGGGCGTAACATCTAACAGGAAGCAATCCTGCTACAATTGGTCTGCTTGTTGAAGGCCATGACTATAACTATGCAAATCCTTCAGATTCATCTTTGTTTTAATATATGCTCAGTACCACCACAATGACCCCACGAAACGGAGGGAAAATGAATTAAAAAAAAAGAAAAGCCATTAAACCTGTGTGAGCAACCATCCAAAATGTAGTGGCTATAGTATGTTAAAGGAACTGCAGTCTGTCAAGAAGGGTTGAGTTAAGTATCCAGAGGTGATTATTGTATTGGCTGGTATTTGCTCATGTGATGTGCCTCATCCTTTTCCAATTAATAAAATATTTAATGATAAATGATTGATTAAAGTAATTTGTTATCCAACATATCTTCGTATACAGTAAAGGATGGGTAATATGCAGTAACATCTTTAGTGGTTCATATATGATTAGTTTATTCTCTTTAAACCAGTTACATGTCCCAGGTACGGCTTAATAAGGTATTTAAAACCCAATCCGGCAACTAACAAGTGCCAGGATCATAAGAGGTGAGCAGTCATAAATGAGTGTGGTCACATAGTGACATACTTTGGTACTACTAGACTATTCGTCAGAGTGTATTAGCGGTGGCGGGACGGACACTCAGACAAACAACAGTTAGAAACCAGACTAGTCACCTCGTCCATCAGCCTAAGCAGACCTATAGAGTCCCACAAAGTCCACTGAGTAAGGTGTTGGGTACCAACTCGAAGGCTACTGGTCCTAACCCTTTACCTGAAGGGCTGATCAGATACGGGTCATCTGTACTTGAATGAGAGTGTAGGTGTGCCCTGTACCTCGAGTCTAACAAGTCGTAACTACAGAAGTCATTCAGTGAAACAAAAGGAAATTCGAGAGTCACGTTGTATCAGCTGCATCATTTTGCATGGTTAAACAGCATTATAGGAGCCTGAGACGGAGTTGTGATTTGTATCCTTCTGACTTTCACTGTTCATTATAGAGGCCTGTAGTGAGCGGATACACTGGAACCACACACACAGCCTGCACAGCTCACACACATACAGTTGTGTTCAACATTATTTAACCCCCAATGTTGTAAAGGACTTTAGCGAAATCAATATATATTTGTAATAGTGTTCTTAAAGAAATCCAACAAGGACTTGTAAATTAGCTAAATGCAACTAATGAAAACTAACTTTCTTCACTGACACAATTATTCAGCCCCTTAAAGATTACCACACTTAAGAACCGAGATTCAATCAAAAGCTTTCAATCAAGCATTGGAAACGCCTTTGATGTGAACAGAACCATAACAGGCAAAAATCAAGCAGATTTAAAAGGACTGTGATACTCCGCTCCTTCTAGACAGTTACTTGTATCTTTGTAACACGGTGAAGTCCAGGGAATGGTCAAAGAAGTCAGGAGAGGAGGTAATTTCTCTTCATAAGAAAGAATATGGATATACAAAGATTGCAAAGACATTAAACATTTGAAGAGACCCAGTCGGACGCATTATTCCCAAGTTTAATGCTAAAGGCACAGTGGAAATGCTACCTGGGCAGAAAGAGGATGCTGATGCTGACTGCAGTCTGGTACCTGAAGCAAAGAGTGGAGAAAAATCCCCGGGTGACTGCTGAGGAACTGCGAAAGAATTTGTCAGAGGGAAGTAGTCAGGTTTCAGCTCCGACTATAATACGCACACTGAGAGATGAAGGCCTCCATACCAGAACTCCCAGGTGCCAACCCCTGCTGACTCCAGTTGACTCCAGTATGTGAAAAACCACATGGACAAAACACAAAGGTTTTGGAAAATTGGAACTCTTTGGGCCTATGGATCAACAGTGAAGAATGAAGAACAAGACCTATGAAGAAAAGGACACCTTCACCTACTGTAAAGCATGGTGGGGGGGGTCAGTCATGCTTTGGGGCTGTTTTGCATCTTCAGGTACAGGGAATCTCCAGTGTGTGCAAGGTACCATGTATCCCATTGACTACCAGGAGATCTTGGATGCAAATGTCATGCAGTGAGTCACATACGTAAGGCTTCCGTCTTCACGTTGGAACTTCCAACAGGACAACGATCCCGAGCATACCTCCAAATCTACCAGAGCTTGGCTGCAGACGAAGGCCTGGAACATTATGGAGTGACCATCGCAATCCTCTGACTTAAATCCAATTGAAAATTTCTGGTGGGATTTGAAGAAGGCAGTTGCAACACACATGGGCTAAGATAGATAGATCGTTGTCAAGCTATGTTTCACATTATAACTGCCAAAGGATGATGTACAAAGTACTAAGGATGGATGTGACTAAGGGGTTGAATAATTTTATAAATGTTGCAAACGCAAAAAGGACATTTGTTGGTATATCACCAGAAATGTTGTTGTAATTTCAATTGCATTTGTCTAGTTTACAAGTCCTTCTTTGACCTGATTACAAAAAAGATTAAAAAATAAATGTCAAACTTGCTAAATCACTTTATTGCAGTGGGGGTTGAATAGTTTTGAACACAACTGTAACTGTGTGGCTTCATGCTTTCTAAACTTCTACATTTGATGTATCATTTGTTATCATATTAAATAATATTAGTTATTTTTTAAAATGTGTTTTAACTAATTTAATTCCACAATAACTAAACTATTACAATGCAAGTTTTTTTTAAGTAATTTGTCAGACTATTTATGCTTGCTTTGTATCTTTTCTAGTTTTTCTGAAAGATGATCCTTATTGTATATATTTAACTTAACTTAACTTAACTTTACTATTGTTATTGTGTTTTACATTTGTTATCTGCTCCATGTTGGTACCTGGGAAGTTCCAAAAATCCACATTGTAGACCTTTATTATAAACATATCTTTAGCTAAGATTTAGCTAAACAAAGTCTCATTAATTATATTTGTATGAAAATGTTAATACACAAAAAAATTATAAAAAACAACTTTATTAATAATTGTTTTTTTAATTTACTATGTTACTATTATGCTCTGTGTGAAGTTGTAATTTAATGGTATGCTTGTAAACTAGTAAGCTATAACTAACTATAATTGTTATATAGACATGACTGTATGTGTATGTATCTGTGGGAGTGAATGAGAGAGAGGGAGCAAGAGAGTACGCATGTCCAGTAACCCTGTGCCCGCTCTTGTCCATTTCTCCTTCCTCCCTCTCTTTACAAAGATTAAATATGACAGGGCGGTTCCGGTTGAATCGGCGCTCCCATTATAATAAACCGGCTCTTTATTGGAGGCAAATTGATTTTGGGGCAGAGTCTTGTTATGAGCTGCTGCTCCTCAAAGCCAGTCATGAGTCAGCAGATTCACAGGCTTTGTTTAAAAATGCTTGCATTTTCATATAACTGTAGCAAACTCATGAAATATAAATCAAGCAGAATGGCTGCTTTAAATAGCATTGATTCATTTTAAGTAACTGATGTTATGTTGAGTGTACATTGAATTAAAAGAACACATTAACTTTTTCCCATGCTCTCTGACAAACATTTGTTTCATTGACTGCCATTGGTGGGTGCTCTTTTTATACTCAATCTAGATACCTAATCTGGACCTGGTTACTTTATGATCTTTTTGGTTGTACCCTGCCCTTGTCTCAGTTTCTAAGAGTCTAAGTTTGTTGTAGACATTCATTTCTAAATTGGTTGCATACAGTTACAATGCATTGTGATTCAATCAGCTAAAAAAATACTCAGAGATTGGTGTAATGTTACAATTTTTATTTTATTTTGTTTATATTTTACAACCACCACTCAGGATTTTAGTGTTCTTCCAATTGCTAAAATCAAAACACGTTTTTGACACATGTTTTTAATTCTATTTGCTTTTATTTTATTTTTCTTTCTCTCATTTTTTCTTTTTCCTCCCATACGGTTTATTACATTTTTTCCTGATCTATTTGTCTTCTGCCCTTTCCCCCTCTATTTCAGCCTGACTCATGATTGCTGCAGCCATTCTGAGTTATTTCCTGTGGTGACTACAGGCTGAAAGAGTTTCTTGTAACATCTTGAGTCTCCTTGATCTCAACATCCCCGCACAGCTCAGTGTGCAGCGGCTGCCACCTGCACTTGCCCTCTTTAATCTATTGTTAAGCATCTATTGAACCCCAGTCTAAGCCGACTGACAGAGCCAGCATGGAAGACACTTATAATAACAGGACTTCACTGGCCAAAGGGGCAAAAGACATGGTAAAGGAGGCCAAACGCCATGCAACAAAGAAAGTCAATAAGGTGGTGGACCGCGCAACAGACGAGTACTCAACTCACCACAACTACAGCCGATTCCAAGACGAGGAAGACGAGGATGAGGACTTTTACCGCAATCCACCGAGACGGGATAAGGAAAGTTACCCTGACAATGAGGAAGGCTCCAGTGATGCCACGGAGGGCCACGATGACGAGGACGAAATCTATGAGGGCGAGTACCAGGGGATCCCGTCAGCAGGAGATGGCAAACATAAGGAGGGCCAGGTGGCACTGGGCCAGCCGGTGTCAGATGCCACACGGGATCGTAAGGAGCTGGAGCAGGAGAGGCAAGCCGATGAGGAGGAGCTGGCCCAACAGTACGAGCTGATCATCCAGGAGTGTGGACATGGGAGGTTTCAGTGGCAGCTGTTCCTCGTGCTTGGCCTGGCGCTCATGTCAGATGGAGTAGAAGTGTTTGTGGTGGGCTTTGTGCTGCCCAGTGCAGAGACGGACATGTGCGTGCCTGACTCCAGCTCAGGATGGCTAGGTAAGGAGGCCTGTGTGTGTTTGATTTGTACTGAGGGCAATAATTTCCTACAGTCACCAAGGTACCACCCTCCCTAATGCCTTTGCCTTTACGTCTTTTGGGGTTTATTATAAACTGGATTAGAGCCACCTACTGGCTGTTGCAAAAGGAAGTGAAAGATAAATACTGGCAGTGCTGCAGAGAATAGACTCAATCTGGTTCATTATGATTATTATTATTATTATTATTTTTGTTTACTTTCATTATTAAGTGATTTTTAAAAAGTCTGGAGACGTAAGAATAAAAGAGAAATTCTAGTATAATAATTTATAATTCCTTAATAAGTTTGAACATCCTAGTTGAGAGATGCATGTTTACAGCTCATAGATTATACAACCATAAATGTAATAAAATGTAGTAGGACAGACATTTGTTAATGTAGAATATGTAGTTTTCCTTTTAAGTGGGCTTTCACTGTGGTTGTTTTTAAAGGACACCATGACCCGAGGAGACAAGTTTAATTAACAACTGGGACTTGGCAATGACATCTAGTGTATAATTATAGGGGTATGCCTTGATCATTAAAATGAAAAAACACATACAATTGTTGATGGGAAATAATTATTTGTAGACAAATATACTCAAGTGGAACTAGCAGATGTGGACTGAAGGTGAGATACTCTGGGATGTACTGTTTATAGCTGAGCCTGGAGGCTAGAAATGTGTAATAGATTGTGTCTTGTTACTCATTGTTTGATGACCAAAAAACAACAACTTTGTGTTTGAACTGACACCTAATTTTGCAGTGGTAGAACATATCTCTGAACTGTTGGTCTCATGTCAGAATTAAGAGGGCAGGGCCTTGGTTCCTCGTCTGCTCCCTGGGTAGAGCTGGAATCCCAGAAGGTCCCTGGGCTGCAGGTGTACAATCCATCAGCACAGGGATACATGTGAGTGCTGACTCACTCGAGGCGAGGACATTAAATCAGGCTTGCAGTGTCCCGAAATCAACTGTCACAGCAAAACATCACAATACATCAGCTTTACTGCAAACATCTGATAAAGTTGAAAACTCTATAAAAATACAGAGAACAAATATTATTCACTTGGTTTTCCATGTGTATGTCATTCCTTTAAGATGTTGTTCATCTCCATTTTCCTTAGTTGGTTCTTCTTCTCTTCTTCTTTGACCAAGTGACATCCTGCAGGCATTCATGCTCCACGCTCTGCTTCTTCTTGTTCGTGCCATTTTTCTCACCCACAGCTCTTCTTTTCTGTCCATTCCTTCCACGCTGTAATGCCTCTTTTCTTTTCTCATCATCCTCTCTTTTCTCCTCCTGATTGCCCTTAGGTTCTTGTGAACATGATTGGTGCCTGTGTGTATGTTGGTGCATGCATGTCTGAGCATAGCCTACATGATTACAGTGACCTTGCTGGTATCTGTTTGGAGTTTTCCAATGTAATTACACTTAACTACAGCCGTTAGAAGGAGGGGAGATGGTGTTTTACAGATGCCATGGCAATATTATACTGCAATACTATTATACTACCTTCAAATGCAGATTTTAACAGTCTTGGAATGTTTTGATGTGGATGCATTATGGATTATTTCAGTTAGGTAATTTTAATTATGTTGGTCTGAAGTCTTCAAGGTTTTTGAATTTCACAATAAAGATTTAAGAGTTTTTATTACAATTTCAAGCTGGCAGAAAAGTGTAAACTTATCAATTGTAATAGTGCTTCACATGTACAACTGTGATGTCCTTTGGCAACGGACTGAACGGCTGTGGTGTAAATGCGTCCTCAGTCTGTCAGATGCTGAGGCCTTTTCAAAAGTACTGGTTGATTATGTTAATCTTTTAGGTTACAACTGATTACCCTCAAGTGATTAGGCTTCTGTGATATGTGTTAGACTAGTGACTGTTGACTAAATCATGTAGCTAAAGCAGGTACTTGTAATAGGTTTCCTTAGAAATTGTCTAAACTTCAGCTATGTATAAATTAATTATTTTAACTTGCCTTTGTGTATTATTAGTTTTTTTAGTTAGTAATCCAGTGATTGTATGTAGGATAAAGAGTAACAAGAGTAAGTCCAATTTCAGCTTTAAGTCTATTGGTGTAAGTTGCCCTACTAGATTATATATATTTTTGTTTGATAGCTGGTTTTACTGTAGGCAACAAGACAATCTGACAAAACAGCCCAGACAACAAAGAAAAACAATCCGCTTTCCAAACATTTAAGAAGAGTAATGTTACTGACTAAAACGTCCAGAATGGAGCAGGACAGTTGGTTTTTAGCCAAAAACCTTGTCACAGTTTGAAGTATATGTAACATTTGCTCAGCTGGAGTTCTGCCGCTGTTTCTCTGTGCAGATCCATTAACCAAATTAAAGCATAGTGACAGAACAAAGCTAAACAAAATCTAATAAGATGAGGCAGTATGAAAAAAAACAACCCCTAAACAAATATGACGGCCTGAGTGGAAGAGAAAATGCTTATTAGATTACTGATTTCAATTTTGTCCTCTTATCTGTGTCCAGATCAGGAATTACTGAGACGCAAGAGGAAGGATGGAGAGCTAGGGCAAAAGGATGAGGAAACCTTTGAGTAGAAGGAAAGGACACGAGTGAAAACAAGTGTCATTGCGGGAAAGGATGGAGTGGATTTAAAAGCGGAGAGACTGTCACACTGAAACTCGTATGTTTTTACATCCAATACTGTCGACAATCTTGGGACAAAAAGAACAACATACAATATTCCACACAAAACCAGTGTTTTTTTTTTACTTCAAATTCTATTTATTCATAGAAGTCCTAGAGAATCTGTTCTTCTCAAAGCCTATTTTCTTCTTCTTTGGGCAGCAAACATTGTTCTAGCTGCTTATTTGTCATCGTACATATAAAAAAAGCCAAATTTCTCCTCTGCATTTACCCACACAGGAAAAACCCCAGCGTTTACCACCATACACACAGGATTAGTACACTTCACTGCACGCAGGAAGCAGAGGAGTGTTCGGTACTTGCTTTACACACCTGCTAGGTTCAGGATTCGAACCGGCGATATGCCACCTTGCACTTCACGTGGTCGATTAAAGAGAGGATTATTTTCAGATTATTTTATTATTTAATAGTGTGGATATTATACCCTACTGCATCCTTAGGTACATTTGATATATTTTAGGTATTTAAAAAAATGTTCTGTTTTTGGCATCAGCATATGTCACATTTTTGGTGTATGGCTTTTCCTTCCCTGTGTGTGTACGTGGGTGTGTATGTGTAAAGCCAGCTGGCTGCCTTTTGTGCATCTGCGAGGTCCGGGGGCAGCTGAGCATGGCTAAACTGCAGTAGGATCACAGCATCACTGCAGAGATTAGGCTTCTTTAGTAATGCAGCTATACATTGTGTGGGGAAAAGGGGCGAAGGTGATAGTTTGTGTGTGCGAGAGCGAGTCTCTCTCTCTCTCTCTCTCTCTCTCTCTCTCTCTCTCTGTGTGTGTGTGTGTGTGTGTCTGTGTGTAGTTTATATATGCACCAAAGCCGCTGTCACCAGTGATATCAGCCACGGGTAAAGCATGTCCAAGTGCATGCTTTTATCAAAGATTCATAATGTGTCTATAGTTCACTCCAAGTCTTTAATGTAATGAAGGCAGTATCATTACACATCCTGAGTGAGCTGTTCAATCACTGCACTTTAAGCCCTATATTCACTTATTTTCATATAGATTTCATTGATGTGCCAGCCCACAGATACAGATATGATTTAAATATGATCAGAATCCTCAATCTGTTCTGTGCCGATGGCAGAAGACAAGAGGCATGAATCCTCCTCAAAGTGACACCATGTCGCACAAATGCGATTACATGCTGCTTTGGGTAAAGGATCTGATGAGGTGGGAGCACAGAGCCATACAAATAACAAGGGAGCACAGAGAAGAAAGAAGAGGAGAAAAACATAAATTGAGTCAAGGAAATGGAAAACAATTAAGATTACATAAGATGGGTTAAAACAAAGAAATATCTGAAGAAGACAAATGTCAGAGTATATACTGAGAGAGGGGAGATTTTTAGTGCTCCGCAGGTGCGCTGTTGTATGACAGCATATCATTACTGTGTGAATAAAACAGGGCTAGGTGTTTTGTGCGACGTCAAAGCAGTTTGCACCACAAAGAGCGGAAAGCATGAAAGCATGAAATCAGAGAAGAGGTCGTGATGCAGCTCAGGGCTCCCACGACTCTCTGGGGTGGATGAAGGGGGGTCCACAGGATGTGACAGGACAGAAAACACTGCATCAGGGCCTTCCCTCAGTCTTCTTTCCTCCTCAGTGTTTCTCTCTCATCCTAGTACCCAGCAATTACCCAGAACTCTCTTTCCTGACATACTCTTCCGCCTTGTTTTTCAGTGTTTATAGCATATAAAGTGTTTCAGATGCATGACCCTTAAAATGTTTCTTCTACTGTTTTCAGTTTCTCTCTACAGTACCGATTTATACAGATAAAAATGTGTATTCAGCTCAGGGCTCTATATGTCTAGTCTTCTCAAAACTCCTCACATCTTCTCAGATCTCTGAAGTGGGCCTGTGATTTCTGCTGAATATGTGACAGTCCTAGAAAAGTATGCGTGGAACACTCTTTATATCTATTTGAATAAATCTCCGGACTATGTGTCAAAGTCTATTGATCGGTTCCGTCTTCATCTCAGTCTACAGACATGACAAAAGCCACATTTGTAGCTGGGATAAATCAATGACAGTGCGGTTGCATGGGATAGAACTCAGAGCAGAAGCTTTGTTAATTAGAGTGATCTGGCTGGAGCTCTCGTGGTCCAGCTAATCATTTCCAATGTGTTCAGTATTGACAGATTGACTGTAGCGTCAGTCTAAAACCAGGGGACTGTCAACCTCCTTTTAATGCGGACTGTTATTTTGGACTAAAACAGTTCACTAATGAATGATAATTTTTTTGACATCAAACTGAAAGTGCAGTGTGACTCATGTCCAGATTGGAAATGAGGCAAAGGAGACACGACTGTGTAGGAATAACAACCTAACGTCATTTTTCTAATGTGACAGTTTAATGCTATAAAAGCTACTTTAAGGTCGATGGTGATGAGGCATCATAAAATTGAATGATGTGTGTGCTATTTTTAAAGTATATAACAACACACGTTCCTCTATCTCGGCCCAGACACTGAAATACATTCAATACATTCACTAGTATTAAGTTTAGTTCATGTCTTTGAAGACAGGGATAAAAATAACTTTCATTGTGATTTCTTTTTGTTGTGTTCAAAAACTGTTCAAAAAGCGGGTGTTTGGTTGGATGAGATTTAAATGGTAGGCCAGCGGGTGTTTGCCTGTGCAGAGCTTGTCTAGTGTCTTCTCTAATGACACCAATGGAGCCGGTCAGACCGAAGACCTCGGTGTAATCTAAAAGTTGGATTGATGTTACCTTCTGGCAGATTCTCCATGGATGGCAAATGTGACTGATGTCTGGGTTTGACCCCTGCAGCAGGAGTCAAACCCATACATACAACAGAAAAGACCAAGGCATGGACATTACAAAATTAAATGTTTCAGCTATTATAGTGATGGGACAATGTGGCCCCCAGCTAAAACATACGAGTGTGTCTCCATCACTGTACACATTTTGTTTTTTGTTCTACGTTTATAAATTTTATATTCCAATGAAGATTGACAATAGTTGTTGCATATTTTATCATTCATTGTGTTTTTATTACACACGTGAATTCCATTCCATTAATTCCATCCCACATAGTTATGAACAAAACAACTTATAAAACCGGCTCCTTGAAGTGACCAATTTGAAATGCTTTTTTCTCTCTGTTCTTTCTTGTTATGTAATGTTTATGCATTGGACAGGAGAATTAGTGTGAGTTACATATACTTGTACCATTGAAAACTTGTAACATTGAAAAGTCTTTTTGGTGGAGCCAGCATGACATTTGTCTTAAATGTTTTATTTTAAAAACCAAGCTTTTTGCTACAGCTGGTATATAGAGAAGAAAATCTTATTTTCTATATGTTTGGAGGAAGGAAAGGAAAGTGAACTCCTTGTCATTGTGACACAGCACACCACTGCACACAACCAAATGTGACCCCTGCTTTTAACCCATCACCAAAGTGAACAGTGGGCAGCTTTAAGCACCCTGGGAGCAGTGTGTGGGGCGGAGCCATGCTCAGAGCACCTCAGTGGTAACTTGGCAGCTGGTGGACTCGGACCTAAAGCCTTCCAGACCCAAGTCCGCTTCTTTAACCACTAAGCCACCACTTTCCCAAGGGTTGTTAGAGCTCGTTATCTCATAGATAACATACGTCGTAAGTTGATAACCTATTCAGTCCTGCAGCCAGGAGGAGCAAAACTCAAAATTTTTTGCGGCCCTTTAGGTGGCACTGGCTACCCAAGTTTGGGGCCACAAACCTATGGTTAAGAACCTGTAGTATTACCTGTAGTAAGAATTACAACTCAGACTCATTTTCTACATATGATGTAAGATGGATTCATTTTGTATTTTTCATATTCTGTTTAATGTTATAACCATTACAAGAACTAAACTCTTAATGTATTTAATATATGGTTTTTTAAAACAGAATTTTCATCTGGAGCTGGGGAAAGGAAGTAAATCTTTCTCACTAAATCCCAGCTGTGTGCTTTCTTTGTACAAAAGTGCGTTCAGCTCTAACCACAAAATGCCTCTGACAGTGCAGACTGAGGCTGTAGCAATGCTGCTCAGGTCTCAGGAGCAGAATTATGATCAGCCGTGGAGATCAATGCTGTTTTGTTGCTGCTTGAGCTCATCCATAGTGCCGGAGGTTTAAATAGCACAGAGAGCCATTCTGTGGTGTCGTCCTGCACCACTGTTCACATTTGTCTCCTCGGCGATCACAGTCTGTTTCAGATCATTACACACTGTATTTTCTCATCAGTGTTGGTGTTCCTCTACGTTATAGTATAGTCCTGTCATAATTTGAATTACACAACACAGCCCTGTGTATGTAGTTTTGGACATTTTGTGCCACCTTCTGTGTTTCCATGTGTGTTTTATTTATATTATATTTTAATTTGACACTTTTACAGTTTACCAGCGGAGGCACATTTGGCTGAGAGTTACTGGATGCAACTTTTTCAAGTCCCAGCTCATGTCCTCAACTTCAAGTGTTTTATTTTAAAGAAAGAATGCAAGCATCAGGTTTAAATTACAATTAAAACTAAGGTAAGCTAAAATGTGGGTGAGTGTTGGTAAAGACTTCTGTTTCTCCTTCTCTCCCCAGGTAGTGTTGTTTACTTGGGAATGATGGTCGGGGCTCTCTTCTGGGGCGGGATGTCGGACAAAGTTGGCCGCAGACAGTGTCTTCTGATTTGCATGTCCACGAACGGGTTCTTTGCCTTTCTGTCATCTTTTGTCCAAGGATACGGCTTCTTCCTGCTTTGTCGTCTTATAGCAGGCTTTGGGTAAGTAAGATGAATGGAGGTCACCCTGGGCAGACATTAATGACTGGCTGTTTACCTTAAACCGTACCAGGATAAATAGAAGATGCATATTGATTTCAGATGTTTACCTGTAGGCATCTAGAAAAAAGATTTTGTGAACTACGGATGTAAAAATATGGACAGTCTAACTGTACAGTGCAGTATGTCCTAAAGACATATCCAATATTTATTAACTTTAATTGTATAAATGCTGTAGCTTTAATCCATCTTCCATCTTCCATATTTAATCTTCTATCGTTAACAGAGCAGATTAGGTTTGATGATTTAACTAACCAGAGTCAACATCAAGCAGGTGATTCTTCCACTGTCTCTGTCAAACACTGTACAGCAGCACCTAACGTTTATGTTGAGCAATTACACTCCACTTCTTTTTTTGTTCTGTGGTTGAAAACTGATTTCCAGTTTGGTCTAAACACAGATTAGGTTAATAGAGGGATTAGGTTGCAGCCTGGAGGATAATTCTTTGAATTCAAACACTCACATTTTTCGGAGCTAGACACCAGTAATCCTGGGCCAACTATATATGAAAAAACATAGAAAAGAAAAGAACTCTTAAGACTTTCCGAAATGAATGCTGCAGTTATTTGGCAGACCTTTGCTGCAGACAGGATGTTCCCTGGCACCCAGGTAATTTGAGATCCATCAGATAGAGTCTCCCCTTGAAACACAGAAACACTGGGCAGACAGTGATTTAGGTGTCCTCCTCTTTGGCAGTGCAGCTGCTCCTTTAAGAGCTAATTCAGTAATTGCATCTTCATCTTTCTCCCCCCAGAGACCTTCAGACTAATTGAAAAGGCTTTTCAAACTGCCAGTGCAGCCGGTGTCCAAGAATGGAGAGTACTTATATTTTTATGCCTTTGACATCTTTACTGATGTTTTAGGCTTTGGTCTATACTTTTTTTAAGAAACTCTTTATGTTTTAAAACTTCTGCTTATTATTAAATGGTGTGTGATGCACATGCTTATGTAAGTTCACAAAAACATAAGTGAGGGAATTAAATTAACGCACTCTGCTTGAATGAACACTGTATTAATGTATAAAATACATCATTGTATTGCATTGAATACATAAAATATAAAGACATCATGTGATACAAATATAAATCATTCATTTATTTAAACTGACTAATTCAAAAGAGGCATGTTTTTATTATTTATTAAATAAATATAATGTATATTCTAAAATATCATTCAAAATATACCTTTATGTATGTTCTTTGTTATTTTATCTTGTAGAATTGCCAGAAATATGGGGAGCTTTTATTTAAAACCTTTTGAATTCATTAGTTCATGATAAAACACTAAAAATAATTTCCACATGATTTTTTTTATTGCAGGATAGGAGGCGCTGTGCCCATCGTGTTCTCCTTCTTTGCAGAGGTGTTGTCCAGGGAGAAAAGAGGGGAGCACCTCAGCTGGCTGTGCATGTTCTGGATGATAGGGGAGATCTATGCATCAGCTATGGCTTGGGCCATCATCCCACACTATGGTGAGTCAGAAAAATAATCGGATTAACGTGTGGGCTGCCTGTGCAGGACAAGGACTACAGGTTACTGAAGCAAGACTTCCTTGTGTCTGTGGGTGGATGTGCCAGATTTAGCCTCCTCCAGAATCAATCACTTAAAAGCTCTGAGAAACAGCAGCCCGGGATAGGCAGAGGTTAAGAGATTAACGTGAGCGTCGATACCATAGAGCAGATGCATGCTGAAAGGGTGAAGGGGGATCTGCAGAGCAGAGAGGAGGCTGTGATTCATGACATCCCTCATATGGACCTGTCATAAAGAAGAAACGAAATGAAGGAATGGATAATTTTCCCATCTCTTCTTCCCATATTCCAGCTTTTTCTTAACCTAAAGTTCCTTCCTGTTAGTGCCTCTCCATCTGTCCTTCTTCTCTCTCTCTCTCTCTCTCTCTCTCTCTCTCTCCCTCTCACTCTCTGTCTCTCACTCTCTCATTTTCATTCTCCGTCTCTGCACAGTGTTCTTCTTGATCAAGCATAATTAGGTTTTTCTCCTTGCTCTAATGGGAAAAAGCCATAACAAAGGGTGATTTATGGTCAGATCATGCTTAAGCCAACCTGTGACGTCAGCAAGAGACAAGTTGTGTGTCTATGTGTCTATGTGTGTGCTTGTATATGTGTGTGTGTGTATGTGTGTGGGAGGGGAGATGTTTTACTGGGCTGAAGCCACATGCAAATCTTCAAGGGAAATTGAAGGCAATAACATTTGACACTGGAAGAGCACAAATAAAGAATAAAGAAGAAATAAAGAATAAAGAAGAACATACACACAGATGACCTGGAAATTTATTTTTAAATTATGTTAATAAATAGATAGAGCCTAACAGACTAGTGGTCGACAATCTTTTAAGTCAAAAGCGCCATTTTAATCCCTACTGTATCACCAAAACATAGTTTGAGAGTACACTACAGTAGGTGAAGTGTACAATAATCTGTTTCGTATTGTATGATTACCTGCTGCACATACTCAGCCATCAACCATGAAGTACAAATTCCCACCCAGTATTAGCTTAAGTTTTCTGACTTCTGGTAAAAATGTATCATCATACTAACTTAATGATTCTCAGTTAGTAGAAAATGTGGTTTATGTTGCTACTGTGAGAATTCTGACTTTTTTTATCTTAATGTTGACTCAGAACCTGAGAATCAATAGTGCTTTTGTAAACTTCCATTGTCTAATTGTTTTGAGCCAGTGTAAATAGTTTCCTGCTGTTAGCAAACTAGGTTAGTAACCATTGTTAATGGTGTGGCCCGTTTGCTCCAAGCTCTGAAATGCCTGCTGATTGTAGATGTTTCTCTGAAGGCCTTAAGTAAGAAACTGAAAGTGGTTTGGCCATTTGTGTTAAATACACCATTAGCAATCACATTTGTCATTATTGCTTACTAAAAATGTAGCGTCTTCCTAAAGCCTCCAGTCAGACTCACAGCTGGAGCAGTGGAGGAGGTCTGTTCACTACTGCAGCTCCAAACATGACACTGATCTGAAGAGTCTAAGGGGATTAGTCACTGCAAGGAAAGCACATCAACAAAGTAATGACAGTGTGTCACTAGACAGATTAAAGTTTCAAACATTATCAGGGGATTCCACATGATTGTCACTTATCTAGAAGACAATTGAAATTTTTTAGACTGTCACAATATCCAAAATTTTATCACAGGTCTAAGATTCATCTCTGTACTGTCTGTTCCTGAGTGAGCGTAGCACAGCTGACTCAGTCATCCAAGGACTTAACCAATTATAATCCCTGTAATGAGATTTTCAATAGCATTGGCAAAACACTAACCCAGAGGGGCACAAAGTCACACTACGGATCTATATGGAACAGGCAATCAGTGCTGAACAACAGCTTTCATTTTTTCTGTTTTCATCACACGTTACTTTCGCGCTCTCTCTGTCTCTCTCCCTCTCTTTGTCTCTGTCACTCTCTTTCTTTCTCTGTCTCTCTCTCTCTGTCTCCCTCTCTCTCTCTTGCTCTCTCTCTCTCTCTCTGTCGTTGTCTCTGTCACTCTCTTTCTCTCTCTGTCTCTCTCTCTCCCTCTCTCTCACTCTCTCCCGCTCTCTCTCTCTGAGTCTCTGAGTCACATCAGACGTACAAACACAAGACAGAAAGTCAGGAATAAATAAAATGAGTCATAGAGTTAACAAGAATCTAACACACAGTCCAGACGTCTGGTAGAAGAGTCATTGATCTTAGAGGTCACAACAAAGGATGAAAAGATGAGACTGACACTATTGTGGACACATCTGACCACATGCCATCTTTGAATTTTTCTAGCTTCATCTTAATTTTGTCTGTACATGAATTATGTTATTTTGCTTTAGCAAAGTCTATGGTCAATACTTTATGCACATTTTTGCTACAGCAGTTAACCTGCTTATTAAGGAAACTTTTTTTGTCTAAGTTTGTCTCAACATATTAACATTAGTAATACTGCACATGAGACATAAGTTGTTTTAGACATACTTTTTTCAGACAGGGTTTAAATGTTGTACAGTGTTGGATTTTGCTTAACAGTATTTTTTTCCAAATGTTTGCTTTTAATTGAGACAATTTTCATCTCTCCTCTACAGCCAATATGTGCCACGTATGACAAAGAGCCACACTAACTCTGAAATAGTTGCTTTGCGCCGTTGATAGCTGACTTTTAATAGGCCAGGAGATTAATTCAGTGCAGTGTTCTTTCTGGCATAACCATTAGTGCTAACCCTCTCCCCACCATCTGACTCCTCTCCTACGCCTGTTGATAAATAATGGTGTTGTTCCCTCTGAAACAGCATCTCCACTAGGCACGACGTGAGGAGAAACGTGGGAGGTCACGACTGTCACAGCAACAACCCTGCTTTCAGTGCCTACAACCAGAAACTAAAATTACACAACACTGCGTGGCCTACATTTGGTGGTTGCATCCCTTTATCCGAACTTTTGTATTAGTTACAGTACAACAAAAAGTAATATTAATAGTAAATAATATTTAAGAATACAACTTGTCAGATTACATTTTTATTTGTCTTAGTTACTTTAGTGATTTTTTTTGTTTTGTTTTTTACAAGGAAGACCATTAATTATTTTTTTTTATTATTTGCATAATTAGATCAACAGCAAATCAGAATCATTTTCCTGACATAAGTTTACTTTGGCCTCCCCAACTCAACACTAAAATATCTTTGGCATTGATTTCTACCATTACAAATGTAATACAAAATCATTTCAGTATAAAAATAGTTATGATTTATGTTTACTTGTGTGCTTTCTCCTGAACATGTGTGGGTGGTAATGTGGTATTAAAGTCTTATGTTTGTGGTGTAATCTGCATATGGTAATTCATGTTATTAATTTCTTTGCTTCTTTTATCACAGTTTGTTTAGGCTTTTCTGAGAATGTGGGGGTATGCATGCATGCTAATGTCTAAGTGTGTGTGTGTGTGTGTGTGTTGGTGTGTGTGTGTGTGTGTGTGTGTCTGTGTGTGTGTAAATGTGTTTTCCAATGATTAATGACACCAGGAGAGTGCCTGTGGGCTGAGATCAGATGCAACAAGATTTAACTTAGCAGAAAACACTCAATTTCTTTCCTACACATTCAATTAACCTGTCCCTTTGCACTTCTCTCAGGGCTGCCCCTGGAGAGTCATTTATTTCTGGGCTCACGCATTGCTCCGCTGTCGCCGCTTTGCAGCTCTCTTGTTTAAATGCCATCTTTTATTTGCCTTTTTGTTGTGTTTCAGTACGAGGTTCACACATAGTATCTAGAATTAGCCTCTCAGTTCAAGTAGCTGAGCTTCAAACACTGCTGGGGATAAACACTATTTTATGTCATTACACATCTATTATTTAATCATTACTTCCACTGAGCACTATTTTAGGACTAATTAGGTAATGTTGTTTATTTTTATTATGCCCTGGTGAGTTTAAGGATTGACTAACTAGCCACCCTCTGAATCCAGTATTGCACAATAAACAGAATATGCATAAAATACAAAAATAAATACTGTATATATATTTTCAAATCCAAGAATTATTTTGCATGAGATAAATAAAACATAAAACAAGAAAGACGTCTTGCTTGTTGTTATCGCTGTGAAATGCAGACAAATAACAATGTGTTTTAAAAATTGCTCAATTTAACAAGCTTAATTAGTAAGTATTTTATCCTTATCTTTATAAGACTATTCATTGTCATTCAATGACTCGTGAAGGAGGCTCTGTAATGGTTTGGGGTTGCATTTATGGGTGTGGTTTGAAAACTTGATTGTTGAGAAATATATATTTTAATACTGATTAGAAAAAAGAAATCCCAAACAAAATGCATAGTCAGGAAAAAACTGAAACAGACCTGGGTAATTACCTTAAGCAAAATTTGAATTTTGGATTATCTAAAAATTGCACAAAAAACCCCCCCAAAAAAACAGCTGGTCAAAAACACCATTGGTTCAGGTCCTATAATATTTAGGCCATGTCTTAGTAACATGTCTTACATTGATTTCTCTTATGGTGACAAGTTTTGTTGTTTTCCCTTGTTTTGCCGAAGTTTTGTTTCTTCATCCTTTGTCTTGTTAACAGGCTGGAGCTTCAGCATGGGTTCAGCGTACCAGTTTCACAGTTGGAGGGTGTTCGTGGTGGTCTGTGCCCTCCCCTGCGTCTGTGCTGTGGTAGCTCTCACCTTCATGCCTGAAAGCCCAAGATTCTACCTTGAGGTGAAGGATTTTGCAATTGAAATTGAACTGAAACATGTTTTGAACTAACCTGTTTTTGCTATTGAATATGAATTCACAATGTATCATGATGCAATGTCAGTGTCGAGTGTCTGTGCTAAATTTTAAACGAAACTCCTGTGGAAAACGACACAGGCCAAATAAATGAGAGCTTTTAAATGTATTCTAACAGATTAAACCCAAACTCTACCATGTGACTCATCCAAAGTTGAGCTTACATGCTGTATCTCTGCAGAATAAAAGCAGTGAGAATGACATCACATAAAAAAAATCACAGGCGTGTAATTATGTACACCAGAAGAGTGCTTATTTGATGAACACATCAGATTTTCTCTCCCTGCCTCTCTCCTCTGCTCACATTCCCTTTTGTCAGGTGGGGAAGCACGACGAAGCCTGGATGATCCTCAAACAGATCCATGACACCAACATGAGAGCACGAGGGCAGCCGGAGAAAGTTTTCACTGTGAGTGTTCATTTCTGCTGCCTGCTGTCTCAGCAGGGAAAGCAGCTTATGTGCTTCCAGCAGTAGGTTTAACACCGTCACTGTGCAGAATCATGTCTAAATTACTTTCATGACATTCAGGCTTATGTGATGTGTTTATATTGCCTCTCTTTGATGCTATCTCCTAATTTCTAATCCTATCCATCCTGGTCACTCCCAGTAAAAATCTCAGCATCTTCAGTTTAAACTCAACCACCACTGCAGCTTTATTGCTCCAATCCCGTCACTGTCATTTACCTATATACCTGTATTCTGCCTTGCTCCTCTACACACTAAAGTGATCCACCACCTGTTCAGGTTTTCTTCTACCTGCTCACTACCATCACCACTGATAACAATGTCATCTGCAGGTAAACAGGATTAAGGTTCCCAAACAACTTGATGAACTGGTGGAAATGGAATCAGAGTCTGGAAACCCAGTTTCCAAAGTTTTCTTCAGGATAAAAGCAGAAATAAATGGGGTAGATATTTATAAATTATACATTTGTTTTATAATTTTTTCCAGACAGTATTTGTATCTGCTTACACAAATTGATCTCTCTGCAGATCTACCATAACCTCATCAAGTGTTTCAACTACCCCATGAGGGAGAACATGGTGCGTCTAGCCACAGTGTGGTTAACACTGTCATTTGGGTGAGCCTCTTTTTTTGTTCTTTTCTCTTGTATCACTGACACATTTGTCAGATATTTTAGGTCAGAAACAGAGCACTTAACTGATAGCTTGCCTTGCAACCGTGCTGCATTTGTTTTTGTCTCTCTGCTGTGTAAAATTGCATGGTCTTGAAATCAGTCAGACCGTGGATCAATACCAGTCCATCAGTGTCTCGGTGGCAGCAGAAATAGAACAGAGAAAAAAGAAAAAGAAAAAAACAGGCTGTAAAGTCTTTCCAATCAAACAGGAACCACAGGTGACAGTTGTTAGAAAGTGTAGAGAACAGGTGCCAAGTCATTGATTGTACTTGCCAGTCTATCTGTGTAGTGAATGGGTGCACACTGAAAATTGTAGCAACAATACTACTGTAAAATTTGAATATCTATAAAGTTTGACTGCTGGATGGGTCAGTAGATGTTTGATGATCTGTCAGTGTTCTGTTTCTGTGGTTGCAGGTATTATGGTTTGTCAGTCTGGTTCCCTGATGTTATCAAACACCTCCAGGCTGATGAGTACGCCTCTAAAGTGAAGATACACAACAATGAACGCATTGAAGACATAACCTTTAACTTCACCCTGGAGAACCAAATACACAAAAATGGCCTTTTCATTAATGACAGGTAAAAAGATAAAAATGTATTTTCATGTATCATACAGATGAAGCAATCATTTTTGTTAAAAAAAAAGGTAAAATATGCACATTGTTTTGTCCCTGAACCCAGTGCCTGTTGTGACTTAACATGACCCCTGCAGAAGGTGATATAAATGCATTTTAAATGCAAGGGTTAGGTAATCTTGCTCACTTGCTTATTTTGAAGTGGAGTACGGTTAAACGGTTTCTCTGTTGTATGTTCCATACAACATATAAAACCTTCAGATCCAGAAATTGCCCAGGTCAATATACAGTAATTGTGTTTTGGTTGTGTCTATATTCCCAGGAAATACGGTACTAATGGCAGAACGTGATTGTGCTTTTGCAGATTCATCAGCATGAAGCTAAAATCTGTCACCTTTCTTGAGTCAACCTTTCGAAACTGCTACTTTGAGGATGTGACATCGGTGGGCTCCTTTTTCCGTAACTGCACTTTCATCGATGTATCTTTCTTCAACACAGGTGAGACAGTGAAATGACATTTTATACTCTAGGACTACATATAAAATTACAACTTAAAAATCCGTCTGCTCTCGTCTCTGACCTCTCGATTTATCATTCCTCGTTATAGCAGACTTGTGATTGATTGTATTCTCCCTCAGACATCGATGACTCCAAGTTGATAGATGGCACTGAGGTGATCAACAGCACCTTTGTCCACAACAAGACAGGATGTCAGATAACATTCGACGACGACTACAGTGCATACTGGGTTTACTTCATCAACTTCCTCGGCACCCTGGCTGTCCTGCCCGGAAATATCGTCTCTGCGCTGCTTATGGACAAAATTGGCCGACTATCCATGTTGGGTAAGAATGACGGGGTTAAGGGGCGGGGCTACATGTTTGTCTGCGCACTTTGTTAATTGGTTTCTATATGGACTGTTCTGTAGAATGCTTTATGTCCTGTGTTACGGATGTGGCACATGTCAATATGCATAAGAGCCAATTTTTTCTCATAATTCATCTAAACATGTTCAAATAAATGTCCCGTGCACTAATGCCTGCCCCTGATGTGTGAACCAGGAGGTTCCATGGTTCTCTCAGGCATCAGCTGTTTTTTCTTGTGGTTTGGCACCAGTGAGTCCATGATGATCTTTATGCTGTGCCTTTATAACGGTCTGAGTATCTCGGCCTGGAACTCTCTAGATGTGGTGACGACTGAGTCCTTCCCCACTGTCAGGAGGTGAGAAAATTAATGATATGTATAACTTTTCACCAAATCTGTAAAGATGTATTCATCAACCTTTTTGTATATTCCACACACTTATCTCATAATCACTGTCCTCGATTCATTCTCTACAGAGGAACAGGTTTTGGGTTCTGCAATGCTCTCTGTAAACTGGCTGCCGTCATGGGAAATTTAATTTTTGGTTCTCTGGTCGGCATCACCAAGGCCATCCCTATCCTGATGGCCTCGTCCGTGCTGGTTGGTGGAGGCCTGGTTGGACTCAGGTTACCAGACACCAGGGCAAATGTTCTAATGTAATACCAGCTTCATTCACTGTGGTTTAACCTGGATGGAAGCTGGGTCAGTCCTCGGTGTTAGGTAAGAAATGCAATTGTCTTGGTTTAGACAGTACCACCAGGAATGACATAATATTATTAATAATATGATAATATATCTTAGCTAAAGTAAGAACACATCCCAGTTTTTGTGCTTTTCATTACAGTTTTTTTCCCATTAACTTCCAAATAAGGCAAGTGAGAGAAGGATGTTGGAAACTGTCATCTATAATGCTATACTGAGTTAAGTATAAGTGCAAAGTATTAAATATTGATGGTGTCTTATTAAGAAAAGCCAGATGGGGTGAAAAGTGAGAAATAGTCTTTAATGAGCAAAGTCAACCTGCTGTTAGACAACTCTAGAATTTGATGATCAGACGAAGCAGACACTGGAGACACCAGTGTGACAGCTGTTCACCCTCAGGAGCCACATTCACAGGGTGTGTTATCAACACTGCAGAGCAGGTCAACAATCCTGTAATAAAATGCATGTTTATTTAAATATACAGACAGTGCTGACATACACATATACTGTTCAGCATGCACCATCAACTTTCAAATTGTGTTTATACTGAGTAAAACATCAGACCTTTTGCATTTCAGGCCCAATCAAAAATCAACATGGAAACCTGCATTTTCATGTTCAATAATAGAATACATATATTTTCTGTTACCTGTGGGGATTTGGATTTATTTTTAGCTAAGTTATTGTAATGTTCTTTTGTTTATTTCAACTGTGTGTGTGTGTGTTTATGCGACTTTGTAGGTCCTGGATCTTACTAGTGACATTAATGATGTTAACAATGTGTCATGCTTCCTTAAGAAACAAAAACAAACTGAATGGCCTTTTTTCAAGATGTGCCTATTTGACTGGAGCAATCTGCCCATGGTTGGAAGTGAAATGAAAGTTAGGAGATGAGATTTTTGGTGAAAATGTATGAAATATATTTTGGTTTTAATGCTTAAAATAACATCTGTTTAAATGGTTAACTGTTGTATGTATTTCTTTTGAATAACATTTATATTGTTGTGCTTACAAGCCAACTCTACTCCCTTAAAACAAGGGTACCAAACTCCAGGCCACTTATAGCATGCAAACCACCAAAATGTGGCCAGCTAGATGTCAGTATAATGTAGTCTGACCCCCTGCTTTTAGTCTTTGACCCTTCAATGAGATGACAGGGGCAACACTGGCCCGCAGCTCACCTGAGTTTGAGACCCCCCTGAAACTACTATGTTAAATAATGTGATGGAAATTATGATTTGATTCTATAGTTATATTTCAACACTGCAAATTAATATTGTAAATAACAATAAACAGCAATTCGTGCCAATCATGCTTAAACATATATTTTATATAAAAATCAATTTAAGTCATAGATGTTACTTTTGAAGATGCATAAAGATTAGTTAACATTTGTCAATGTGTTTATGTTTTTTCTATAAAAAAACACCTTGCCTAAATGATCACTGTGTCATTTGAGTCACCCAAACATTTAACACACACACACACACATATATATACATACATATATATGTGCTCTGGAGCTTCAGTTACAGATATTATGTTTTCCCTCTGTATGGAGTACGGCTCTTAAAAATAATTTAAAATAAGCTTTGAAAGAGCTGGTGCACATATGCATTCATTACTTATATAGCCATTTATCTCATATGTCATATTATTTGCAGCAGCAAATACATGTTGTATTGCTTTTGTGCAATAAATATTTTTGATCAAACCAAATACACTGATCACTAAAACAAGACTTTTGTTCCAGCTTCCACTTACATTAAAATACAATGGAAAAACAGACATTATACATGTCTCTGGTTAAGCTCTTGCTTCTCTTCATAGAAAAGGTGAATTTTGTTCTTTGTTTTTGGTTATGGTTTTTGCAGTGTTGCTGATGTATTGTATATGTATGTGTGACCATGCAAGTGTGTATTTAAGGAAAAGTCGTACTGTATGTACAGTAAGTGTGGATCTACATGTGGACGCATGAATATAAAGATAATGTACATATCAAAGCTGATATCAGTGAATTCCTGAGTTAGCTGTATGTAAAAACTCTTTGTGTGTTTCCTTCTGTGGCCCAAATGTTCCATCTACTGTATCTGTCCGTGTCTGTTTTTGGATTCAGAATCCTCTCAACCTGCTGCTGCGTGTGTGTGTAAATTCACGTGCATGCATGAATAAAAACCTCTCTTTGTTTTTGTGCATTTTTTGTTATACTGTAAACATTACCGGAATAAAATTATGGCAATATTGATGTTATTGTTGAGGAGAAATGTGAATGTATCACTCTTGTTGGTTTTGTTGATTAATTTTTGGAGGTGATTCAGTGTATGTGGAAATAAAAAGTGTGTGTATATCATTGTAAAGACCCTGTTAGTCATTGGATGACTGACCTGTACTGTCAGGGTCTGTAAGTGTGAAAATATGTGAAAAAATATTTGCCAAATCACGGTCTGTGAACTATGTGTAAAACTGGAAAGGCAGGGACTGCAGACTGTGCTGCATATAAACAATAATATAAAATATATACAATAAAAGTTATGTTCTCTAGCAAGGTAAGCTGTGTCTTATTTTACAGATTTGTCAGAGGTCATTAATTTACATTACATTTCCATGTGAATAACAAATGAAAATGAAATGAAAGTACTAATTATACTGTATATAGTATATATATATAGATAGAGAGATAGATAGATCGATAGATCAATAGATGGATAGATAGATAGATAGATAGATAGATAGAGAGAGAGAGAGAGAGAAAGAGATAGATAGATAGATCGATAGATCAATAGATGGATAGATAGATAGATAGATAGATAGATAGAGAGA